GGAGTCGGCGTAAAACTGTAGGTCCCTCCGCTTTGTGTGACAACATCAAGGCGCACGCCACAAGTCGGAGGAGAAGCTCGGCCAAACACTAACATATGTGTAAGCGCCAATCTATTGTTATTATTATTATTATTAATCTATTTAAAAAATCATTTACAGTTTTATAGGAAATTGCCTTATTTACAATATATGTCCAACCTGTGTGGAACTGACGATACAAACATATATTCAGGCTTATAAGCCTGTAATTAAACATTTTTCTACATTTAATTTGAAATAGTATGCACGAACGGATTAAAAGTACTAAATAATTAGTACTTTTTATACTACTTTAAAATGCGTGACCGGAATAGACCTGCCGAAAAAGTGAGGTTAAGTTACTGACAACACCTTGTTATTATTACACCATGGGTATGGTAGCACGAAATGTCCCAATCTGCTTAATTGTCAGGTTGTTAATATGGCGACGAAAAAGTGACAATGGAACTATCTTGTTTTTTGTATCATGATTGAAACTACCTTCTTTTTTGTATCATGCCTTTCTTTCAAATTGTAAAATAATAATCTCATTATTATTGCTCATTCAATAAATAAAATAAATAAACATTTTTTTCTTTTCAGAATTGGATGGATGAAAATCGTTCGTGGAACATTGTTGATTACGACAACTTAACTCAAATCCATATGAAACCAAAAGAAGTATGGAAACCAGATATAACAGTTTTAAATAGCGCCGGCGATAAGAGCGATTATTTAGGCGATACTCAAATACTTCTGGCCCACGACGGTAGTTTTCTGTGGGTGCCGCCCGTTGTTTACACAGCGTACTGTAGTTTAAATTTCCGTGCGTGGCCTTATGATACACAAACATGCAAATTGAAGGTCGGTTCCTTGGCGTTAACCTACATAGATTCACGCTATCTAGATTTGAAAGACAGCTTGGACTATAGTGAGCTCGTACAATCGACTGAATGGGAAATTGTCGATTGCGATACGGTATATCGAAAACAGGATTATTATAATTATATTGAATTTACATTTAAACTACAGCGTCGTTCGTCAATGTACGGAGCGGTTATCTTCACTCCAGCTTCCTGCATTATATTATTGGCGCTTTCCTCGTTTTGGCTGCCACCACGAATGGGCGAAAAAATATTATTGAATACCATTGTAATTGTATTGATTGCTGCTTTTCTCATATATTTTGCGCAACTGTTGCCGATATTGGCTGACAATACACCGCTCGTAGGTTTGTATATACATATGTATATTAATGCCTTTTTATATATGTATGTATGCATCGGCGTAGCCAGAATGAAATTTAGGGGGGGACTCGACCCTATTAAGCGGGCATTTCAGGTTACTATTTTATATATATATAAGGAAAATTTGAAAGTTAGGGGGGCGGGGCTCAAGCACCCGGCTACGCCCATGTATGTATGCACTTGTATACAGTAGAGCAACTCCGAAATATATGAAATTTCCAAACTTCGGAATTTTTTCCCTCCCCGCGCATTTTTGAATAGCTTGAAGAAAGAAAAGGACATCTAGTGGAAAAACCTTAGGCCCAGGACCTGAAGCCAAAAGACGGACTAAAAAAGATGGTTTCAGTTATTTGGTTGCATCTTTCAAGATCATTCACGAGGCAAAATTGCTTCAAAGCGGTTTGGTGCAGAATAAAATAGTGAACATTTTTTTATACACCCTTTTGACCAAAACATAAAACTTAATGCAGGTTTTTGTAATCAAAGACCAAATGTTGTATGTGTCTTTCTAATAATTCTTATAACTGATTTGGGAAGGACAGTACTGAAATCTCACTCGCTGTACTGAAAATTTTCAATTCCCAATTCTGAGCGCAAATGTCATTATTTTTCGGAAATTTGTGCTGATTTGAACTGATTTTTCAATCTATATTCCACTGCGCTCACATCGTTGGGGAGGGGCGATGGGATGACTTGCCAAATAAGGTTAAACTAAACAGGTTTCACCGATAAGTGACCCCTCAAAGCTCAAGCTATGTGACCTACTAGCAAATACCCGGCGTGTTTCCCGACGCCTCGTGTGTAATTTTGCATTGAAACTCAAATGGGGAAACCTCTTCAGGGGAAGAATTTTGCCTTTATTAGTATCTATAATTCATCTGGCCGGCCATTGTAACCCTAGTACATATGTATGTACATATAATGTGTTGTAATCGATTTGTAATAATAATAAAAGTTAAGATCTATCTTCACAAATCTGTGCCATATCAGTTCAGTATCATTGCCAATCAGTATCGATCAATGATACCAATTCACACACCCCCGTAGTATGTCGTCCGGTACTTTCAGTAAAATGAAGTTCATTGAAACCAAGGTGACTTATTTTGATTTATTTTGGAACGAATTTAATTCATCCCTTGTCAAGTTCGGTGTGCAGACATATTTTACTAAATTTAAGCATATTAAAAAAGGTAACCAGTTTCCTCTCTCAATTTATGCAAATTTGCACACCGTGTTAATAAATTGCTTTTTAATTTTTACTTACCATATGTGTGGCGTGGAACAAATTTGAAATTGGTTTGTTGAATTCTAAACACTTAAGGCCAAACTCACAGTGCGTAGTTAACTCAGAATCGGCAGTTAACTACAGAATTTCAGTACAGCACTGTTAATTTGGCCCTTAGGGCCTTTAATTTAACTATTGTAAAGTATTGATAAATCATTAGTTAAACTTAACTACAAACATTTCTATAGCAATTTCTTAGTGTTCACAATTCCACAGTTTATACATAAAATGTTTAAAATTTGCTCTGAAAGGTTTTGTATGTTTCCTCTCCTAATGTGTGCAAATTTAGACATCGTGTTAATAAAATTAAACACAGCCTGTTTACCAAATTTGTCGCGTAGAGAAAAATTACACATAATGTGTACTTAATTTTAATTTTTAGTAGGGAATGCATTTTTACGTTAAAAACGTTTGTAATTTCAAACATTTCATATGTATATTTTAAACATCTCATGTTCAAAAATCTAGTCTTGAACATCTTATGCTTATACTTACACAGATTTTGTTTGAAAATAAACAATTTTAAGTAGCAGTTTTACATGCAGTTTTTAGAGTGTATAAAAAAATTGCGGAACGAACACTGAAGCAGCACTGACGGTAAAAAACGGCACTGTGCCAGACGGTCTGAACAACTCTATTTGGGACTGGGGCAACGATATTGTATTATGACACTGATAGGTACGGAACTGATATGTGTAGATAGACTTTTATTGTAAAAATCACGCATATAATTGATTTAAAGTCGATAAATAAACGCAGATCTAATTCCGATTGCAGTCATCATTTCTATTCGCTCCGCCGCTACTATTCTCCGATTATGGGCCATTGCCCTTGCGGCTCTCGTTTGTCTTTGCAAATTTCTTGCATTTTTAAACACTTCGCACCATTCTGTTATATTAAAGATTTTTTTTTATATTTAGTAACGAAATTCCACCTTGTATAAGCCAAAATACTTAGCCTTTAATGCTAATTTATCAACTTTGCAGTTGTTTGTGCATGCCACTACAGCGTTGGAAAAATGGAATTCGGCTAGGCAGAGGTAGGATTACCATAAAAAGAGGCTAATTTACTTTACCATATCAATTCTAATTTGAACATAGTTATGTACATATGTATGTATGCATGTATTCATGTCTAACTCAATTGATTGAATGTTGATCTGTTGAACTAACATTAGTTGCGTTTTTTTACTCATTTCCAGTAAAATCCAGTAAAAGTTTTTCCGAATTTTCATGTTTTGGCGTTTTCGTACGCAAAAACTTGCAAAGTGGGGAAAATTGAGAGAGCGAAAAATGACAGTTGAAGTTCCAAGTTTTTACTGGATTTTACTGGATAAATTTTCACTTGTAAGAATTTGCCAGTACGAAAAACAGCTGATCGCATGTTGCTGGATGAAATTTAAACTAACAAGGAAACTGTTTGTGGGTTTTTATTGTTGAATTTCACAAAATAAACCTATTTAAATACAAAATTTATTGTTTTATTAGGAATTCGCTGCGAATAAATAACCAATTTATCAGCTATTCATAAAACTTGCAAATTATTACTGGAAAAGCGTTCGCGTACTTTTTTGCAAATTTTTCCATGAGAGCGAATTCTTAGAAATAAAGTTACTGGATAATTTGTAAAAAAAACACACAACTATTGTTGAGTTTTGTTTTGTGTAGAATTTGCATGAAGCGAAACAGACATTTCTTTGTTATTTATTCTGTATGCTACTACAGCGATGTAAAATTAGGTTTCTGCTGCGCANTTTTTTATACCCGAGCGCACTTGTGCACAAGGGTATTATAACTTTGTTCACATAACGGTTGTTTGTAACAGGCAAAACGAATCGAGATAGATATAGACAAATGTATACATAAATGATCAGAATGAAAAGAGAAATCGATTAAGCCATGTCTGTCTGTCCGTCCGTCTGTCCGTCTGTCCGTCCGTCCGTGTACACGATAACTCGAGCAAAAATTTAGATATCTCAACGAAATTTGGTGTGTAGGTTTCCATTTATCCAAGGTAGGTTGGTATTGAAAACGGGCGAAATCGGACTGTAACCACGCCCACTTCCCATATAACGGTAATTTCTAGAAATACAAAAACTGCGATATTTTAGTAATTACTGAAGATAATTCACTCAAAATTGACATTTGCAAATAATTTTCAGACGAAAAATAAGAATATTATAAATTTTTGGAAAATGGGCGTAGCCACGCCCACTTATGGTTACATGTGTTTATCTTGGTAACCGCTGTAGCAATTTCTTCCAAACTTGGCACACTTATTGGCCTTGGTACAGCCTACTAAATGGCGGAAAATTTAAAAAATCGGACAATAACCACGCCCACTTCCCATATAACGGTAATTTCCAGAGATACGAAAACTGCGATATTTTAGTAACTACAGACGATAAAACTCTCAAAATTGATATTTACAATGATTTTAGACGAAAAATAACTACGCCCACATCCCATATAACGGTAATTTGGAGAACAACAAAATCTTCGATAAATATTAAAGCTAATTTATTCAAAATTGATGCTTGCAACAATTCTTTACCAGGAAATACGTTTGTGATAAAATTTGGAAAATGGGCGTGGCACCGCCCACTTATGATCACATATATGTATCTCGATAACCGTTCTACCAATTTGTACCAAACTCGGTATGGTTATTGTGCTTGCCACATAAAAGCAAAATGTTGAAAATTATTGAAATCGGACTAAAATTACGACAGCTTTTCATATAACGGTAAATTTCAGAAATGCTTGAAACTTCAATATTTCGAAATTTAAGGACCCTAATTTCCTCAAAATTGACACACCCCGGCTTACCATCTAGCGGTAGCTTTCGGCAAGGTGAAAAAAACATATATTTATTACCTGCGCCGGGTATTTAATGTTCGGCTCCGCCCGAACTTAGACTTTCTTATTTGTTTTTTACCAACTTCATCTTTATGAAATAAAGGAAAAGCTGAAGATTAATGTATGTATGCCACACCAAGAAGCTTAAGGCCCGTCCACATAAAACTTTGGCGTTGCGTTGGCGTTGACGTCGCTTCAACAGCTGACTATGAATACATGAATTCAAATGCAGCCGTCCACATAGCCAAAATTCGGCAACGCTCACGCCAACACAAAGCAAAAAGATGGCCATCTCTCATCTTGTCGCGTGCGTTGCTCGTCCGATGTTGCAAATAAATAAAATTGTGTGAAATATTCTCCCTTTTTAATCAAGTGCGGGCAAGAAATATCGTTTTTAATGCAATTATTGATATGAAATATTAATTTATCTGTCGTTAGTATGTTAATTTAGTGGCCCAAGCATTCGCTGCCAAGCGTTCATTGTAGCAAGCATACTTTTATCCTGCGTTCTGTCAAACCAACGCCAACTGCGAAGCCAAAGCGAAAGTTCTTTGTGGACCGGCCTTTACAGTAAGCATCTGCCGATATCGCAGCAAGCAGCATTTTGAATAAAAAAAAAACAAAAACAGTTGCCAAACGAAATACACGATGTAGAGCAGGGGTTCCCAAACTTTTTTCACCTCGGCACCCTTGTTGTGCTAAAAAACTCTCGCGGCACCCCTACTCTTCAAATGTCTACGAAATCAAGAAAACACAATGCAAACTTTATGCGCCTTTAGCTTTAATGTGAGGACTAAAATTGTTTTGATGATTTCATTGATTCCTTCAAGTTTATTGGGAGCTGTGACAATTTTACCCTGAAATCATTTGA